TTCCAGATAAGAAGACGTTGACGAAGAAGTTATATGAGATTGGATCATATGTGGCACCTTAACTGACAATGTATATGCTTTGAATTTAAGCGTTGATTTATTAACCGAGACGTTGAGATATGTGAGGTCCTCATTTGTCGACCAAGGGAAGTGGCGCCTCTCGGGTAGGCTTCGAAGGCTGAGGCGTTTTTAACCTTGTTAACCTCTCCGTCGTCCGTAACGCGTCTAGCGCGTTCAAGTGGGCGGCTGCAACGCGCTTCAAGCGTTCTATTTATGTGCGTGTATTTATGTGCTTAATTAGGTCTGTCTGTACGAATGAAGATGTTGCAAAAGTATGCTAAAATTAATGTATTCAATATCCAGGTAACGTTGTACTCAGAACTCAAATGCACACGCAATAAGTTCTCAGGTATTCATGCATTTAGATTTTTTTTTTTTTAAATTTACTTATTCATTTATTTTTTATTTTTTTATTATGTATTTGAATGGCACTTATGTATTTATGTGTCCATGTGTGTATTTATGTGTTTAAATTAGGTCGGTCTGTATGTATGAACATGTCGCAAATGTATGCTAAGGTTTATGAATTCAGTAACCAGGTGACGCTGTATTTAGTACTCATATCCACGCGTAATTATTTCTAAGTTTTTATGTATTTAGGTTTTAATTTATTATGCAATTGCGTGGCATTTACGAATTTATGTGTGTATATATGCCTATATCTATGTGTTAAATTAGTTCGGTCTGTATGAATGAACATGTCGCAAATACCGGGTGATCAAAAAGTCAGTATAAATTTGAAAACTTAATAAATCACGGAATAATGTAGATAGAGAGGTAAAAATTGACACACATACTTAGAATGACATGGGGTTTTATTAGAACCAAAAAAAAAAAAAAAAAAAAAAAATGTACCGTTATCGGGCCTTTTTTCTTCGAGGAAATGCCTGATTCTGGTTTCGTAACTGCTACCGTGACGGGTGAGAGGTACGACGATATGTTACAGAATCGCATCGTCCGCACCTGGCTGATAAACACCTGCTGGAACGTACGATTTTTATGCAGGATGGCGCTCCACCCCATATTGCTAGACGCGTGAAAGATCTCTTGCGCGCGTCCTTTGGTGATGATCGTGTGCTCAGCCGCCAATTTTGTCATGCTTGGCCTCCTAGGTCCCCAGACCTCAGTCCGTGCGATTATTGGCTTTGGGGTTACCTGAAGTCGCAAGTGTATCGTGATCGACCTCTCCGGACATGTTTTACGGTGCTGTTCCCAAAATTATTCCTCGACTACAGCTATTGTTGAGGAATGATGGTGAACATATTGAGCATTTCCTGTAAAGAACATCATCTTTGCTTTGTTTTAATTTGTTATGCTAATTATTGCTTTTCTAATAAAACCCCATGCCATTCTAAGTATGTGTGTCAATTTTTACCTCTCTATCTACATTATTCCGTGATTTATTAAGTTTTCAAATTTATACTGACTTTTTGATCACCCGGTATATACTAATATCTATGTATTCACTATCTATGTATTCAGTACCCAGGTAATGCTGTATTTAGTACTCATGTGCACAAGTAATTAGTTCTTAGGTACTTATGTATTAAGGAAAATTATTTATTATGTATTTGAGTGGCACTTAAGTATGTATGTATCCATGTGTGTATTTATATGTTTAATTAGGAATGTTCGTACGAAAGAACATGTCGCAAATGTATGCAAATATTTATACATTCAGTCTCCAGGTTACGTCGTATCTAGCACTCATTTGCACACGTAATCAGTTATCAGGTTTTTTTATTTATCTAGGTTATTATTTATTATGTTTTAAGTGTATTTATGTATTTATGTGTGTATTTATGTGCGTATTTAGGTGCTTAATTAGGTCGGTCTGTTATGAATGAACATGTTGCAAAAGTATGCTAACATTTATGTATTGAGTATCCAGGTCACGTTGCATTTAGTACTCATGTGCACGCCTATTAAGTTCTCGGGTATTTAAGCATTTACTTATTATGTATTAAGTGGCATTTACGTATGAATGTATCTATGTGTGTATACATGCGTTTAATAAGGTCGGGTTGTACGTATGAACATGTCGAAAAAGTATGTTAATATTTATGTATTCAGTATCCAGGTAACGTTGTATATAGTACTCATATGCACACGTAATTTGTGCCCAGGTGTTTATGTATTTAGGCATTCATTTATTATGTATTAATGCGGCAATCACGTAATTATATGTGTATTTATTTGTGTACCTATGTGTTAAATTACTTCTGTCTGTATGCATGAACATCGTGCAAATGTATGCTTATATCTAAGCATTCAGTTTTCAGGTAATGTCGTATTTAGTACTCATATGCACACGTACTTAGTTCTCAGGTATTTATGTATTTAGGAATCTTTTTATTATGTACTTAAGTGGCACTTTTGTATTTATGTATCTAGGCGTGTATTTAATGTGCTTAATTAGGTCGGTCTTATGAATGAACATATCGCACATGTATGCTAACACTTATGTATTCAGTATCCAGGTAACGTTGTATTTAGTACTCATGTGCACACGCAATTAGTTCTCAAGTATTTATGTATTTGGATATTTACCTGTTATGTATTAAGTGGCATTTATGTATTTATGCATCTATGTATGTATTTATATGTTTAATTAGGTCGGTTGTATGAACGAACATGTCGTAATGTCTGCACAATGATACCAAACGAATGTATTACTGCCCCTGTTCGGCCATGTAATCTTTTTATTGGAGTTCAATATACGCTGGGCCCGGACACTTTGGACGGGAGTCCACCCCGTTGGCATTTTGTCGGCATGACTGCTGACGGTAGGGTCTGGGCGTTGGGACAGGGCGTCCTGTGCGAGACTCGCGTGTGGCCCCTCAACCCGGACTCTGGATAAAGGAGGACATGGCGCTATACCAATTGACCATCATGGTAGAGGGATGGTGCCCCCGCCCTCCGTCACTTATCACTTATCACTTCAAGCGTTCTTCTACATTTTAAAACTTTTAAACGTTTAAAACGCTTTCTAAATGTTTACTTGTTTGAGTTTTTATTTATGTTTATTTGTAAAGACAAGAAGGATATACGCTTGATGAGTACATTCCGTAATAACTCGATGATTGATGTTGGAACACGCAAAAGAACTGTAAAAAAACCAAAATTGTAAAGATTACAACAACAAAATGGGAGGAGTGGACCGCCTGTATCAGATGTTATCAAATTATCCTGCGTGTAGCGCGTTCAAGTGAAACTTCCGCAGGGCAGCCGTTTGTTCTAATACCTCCTAGAGGGTAGCACTCATCAGGCATTCTATTTCTAATTGAATTTGCCCCGGGTTTTTATGAATATTCGCGCCTTTTTACATAAGATACAAGACAGTGAGAGATGGCTTCAACGTCTACTCAGCAGAAAAAGAGAAAAAATGAGGTTGTGAATTATAAAGACAAGGAGGATATACGCTTGATGAGTACAGTCCATAATAACTCGATGATGGATGTTGGAACACGGAAAAAGAACTGTAAAAAGCCAATAATTGTAAACGATTACAACAACAAAACGGGAGGAGTGGACCGCCTGTATCAGATGTTATCAAATTATCCTGCTGTTAGAAATAAACAGAGATATTATTATTTTTCCATTATGCTTTATTTCCTTATAATTTTACTTAATATTCATCCACTACTGAAAACTTAATACTTAGATATAAGCATACATTTGCGCCATATTCATGCATACAGATCGAAGTAATTTAACACATAAATAATTACGTGATTGCCGCGTTAATACATAATAAATGAATGCCTAAATGCATAAACACCTGGGGACAAATTACGTGTGCATATGAGTACTATATACAACATTACCTGGATACTGAATACATAAATATTAACATACTTTTTCGACATGTTCATACATACAACCCGACTTAATTAAACGCATGTATACATACATAGATACATACATACGTAAATGCCACTTAATACATAATAAGTAAATGCTTAAATACCCGAGAACTTAATAGGCGTGCACATGAGTACTAAATGCAACGTGACCTGGATACTCAATACATAAATGTTAGCATACTTTTGCAACATGTTCATTCATAACAGAACGACCTAATTAAGCACATAAATACATACATAAATACACTTAAAAACATAATAAATAACCTAGCTACATAAAAAACCTGAGAACTGATTACGTGTGCACATGAGTGCTAAATACGACGTAACATGGAGACTGAATGCATAGATATTTGTATTCATTTGCGACATGTTCTTTCGTACGAACCAACCTAATTAAATCACGTATGGAAAGTTATGATGTACAGAGAAAACAACATTACACGCTACGAAAAACAGACGGTCGCTGGGGAAGGGGGCAATTTTCGCCGACAGGTGAGGACAGCGAAAGGGTTAAGGCGGCCTCGAGCTAGCCAGATCTGGGAGCCCCTTCTTCCGGTTCACTGTGTCTTCCAAAAACTACGAAAATTAGTTCAGTAACATGTACAGTCTCGCAGTAAAGTAGGTATGCAAGGAAAGTGTTTCGACTGATATTAAAGCAAAGTTTTATTTCCATTATTTATTTCTTTAAAGGTAGCATGCGTCTGCCTAGATATGCGATATTATGATTTTCGCCATGACGTTATTGTTCGAAGCACCTCCAGACATCAGAAGTAAATGACTCGAGGATACGTATAAACACAAGGCTCATTTATTCTCAGTTAACCTTTACCATGTTATGTTAAGGAAGCCATGTCACTCCTTAAGGCATTATAGGCAGGATGAGGCTTTTTACCCCAGGAGTCTGACACAACGTGCACCGCACTTCAACCTTATCTATTTCTTACACTAATCTCAGCCCTGAAGGTTTTTAGACACACCCTGTATATGTTATTTATTCCTTAAATGGTTTTTCCATTTAAATTAAGAAGGTTTTGCAAGTACGCACGTAAGTCGGACGTTTAGATCACTTACCTGTTACCTTTTCTTTGAAAGCTCTAAGAGCTGCTAGTCTGGTTTCCGGTGTTTCATTTAGTTCTTCTCTCGCTTTTTTCCAATCTTCTGGAGTTATATGTTCATCAAGCAAAGCTCGGTGTACTCTGTCATCTGCCACTATAGTTTTAGCCGTTTCCATTCGCTTTAGTGTTACTTCAGATGATGATTTAGACATTTCCGCTTCACTTTTCAAACTAAACTTTTCACGAAACTGCAAGATGAAAAAGAGTCATTTCATATTGTTACGAATTAGGAATTTAAAAAGCTAATGTTAGTTTAATTATAAATTAAATGGTTTTATTTCCCGCACAGTGCAGCGCGTGACGAATATTAAAAGAAAGCTAAGCCGGAAAATTGAAAATAAAATGACGACATACAAAAACAAAATCTGAAATGTTTCAGATTTTAAATTACGTCCAAAGGGGCGTTTTAACATTTTGTGTGTTACTTTTCTTTATTAAATATCATGTTCCTCGCACTTAAACCATAAGATCCAGTTGCAACAGCAATATCGCAAAATAGTTTTTTAAAAAACGAGCATATCTTTAGAATTTCCGATACAGAGACTCACGCGCTGGAGATAAAAATGTTTTTTTCTGCACAACGTTGCCATTGCTCGCTTTGAAATCCTTGAGTTTGTTAATCAAAAATTCGTCAAAGTTTTAAAAAATAGGAAAAATCGATCATAAAACAAATTTCAAATTTCAAATTTGGTCTTCCACATGCTCATATTCGTTGGAGGATTACGTTATTCAAAATTCGATGACTCTATGTACCGTTGTTTTATCACAATACGAGAAATATACATACATTTATGCAGATTTTTCATTATTTAATTTCTTCAAATATAATGCAGGACTCTAACATTTTGTGGCAACAGTTTGAAAAGTGAACCGACATTTATGAGTCCGACGCAAAATGCCAAAACGAAACTAATAGTCCTTCGGGATTCAAATCCCTTTGGACTAACAAGAGCGCGTGCATTAAACATTTAATAAATACATCTTTTTGATTTCGAGAAAGTACTAGAAAATTCTCGCACGCGATTTTAAAATCTTATAAAAGGAGGAAAACCTCTCAGTTCGTAGCAGTTTGCTTAGTTTGTTGTTGTTTAGAAAACTGCTCTTGTTGACTGTAGCGAATTCGCGGATTAGCTTTCTTTAGCTGTTTTGAATTAAGTTCTCTTGAACGTTTGAGTAGTTAAAAGATAACTACTGTGAGATATTGTAATACTGAATGAATATTTTAGGAAATTTAACCATATTTGTTGTGATAATCATAAATTTTTGTTCATTTTTCATCCGACTTGTGCATTCATTTCGTAACGAACCCGTACGCACGCAACAATATTGAACATAATAAAGTTTTCCAAATAAAATATTGATACTTTTATCAGTTGTAGCAACTTGCTTGTACCAAATTCTTTAACTTCAGGTAACTTAGAGTACAATAAACGTCGCTTAATGCGATCGCTGTTACAGTTAGCATTCAGATATTGCTATCGAATTGTCGAAGTTCCGCTCGTTTATATACGAAAACACGGAAAAATATCGCTTACAGGGTTAGGTTAATGTGATCAAAATATTATATTGGGTCAGTCCATCAATTCGTGCGCATTTTTAGGTAAATTTTCAAATAATATAAAAAAACACAATTTAACATTTTAATCAATTTTATATTTTCCTCCGTTATCTACAATGTCTCACCATCTTACAGGCAGCTTTTTTATGCCATTGCTGTAGAAAGATTAAAAAAAACTTGGTTTTGATGCAAAAAAACTTGAAAGTTCATTGTGTACATCCTGTATGGAGTTTAATTTTTTTCCCAGTTAAAAATTTTATAAGGCACGAAATAAGTGAAAATCACTTGGGGCAATATCTGGGGAGAAAGCAGGATGTGGCAAAAGCTCCCAATTAAATTCACTCATTTTTTGCAGCGTTGTTAGAGCCGTATGCGGTCTAGCGTTATCATGATGAAACAACACTTTCTTCATATTAACCAATCGTGGCCGTTTTTTGATCAATTCTGAGTTTAGACGGCAAAGTTGTTCACTATAAACTCCTGAATTAATCTTTTGATTTGGTTGTAATAATTCAAAACGTCCTGGGGGGTCCTCAATCACGCTTCTTCTTTTTCTTTTTTAAATTTTTAAACTTTTTCATCCTATACAATAATAGTTGGTTCATGCTACTCTTTTTTTCGCTGCAAACCTGGCAGATTCACACACGAAAATAAAAAAATGTACACAGCAGCGTATGATTATCTTATTCATCTTTTATGGGTACTAAATGCGTTCGATATTTACGAAATTGGTGATGACTGATTAATCTTTGCACGATGACACTTTTCAACAAGGTTCAAAATTGTATTGTTTTAGTAAATGCGTCAAGGTGAATTCCACGCATACTCTTAATGCGCACGAACTTACGAACTTTCCCGATAGAATAAAAAGTAGTCAAATCAAAACAGAATAAAAAATTTCCACACTGTAAAAAAATGTCGCCAAGGAAGGAATTAATTTGCCAAACAACTTGTTTTCAATTTTATTGAAATATTCACAAGTCGGGGGGGGGCAGGAGGACTTAGTTTGGTGTAGACTTAAATAACTCTACTGATTTTGAGGGTAATCAAGGTCCCTTTTCACCAAGACCAAAAACGCAAAATTTCCCCTACTCATGGGGGGGGGGAAGAAAATTTTAAAGCTTTCAGTTCTTATATATTACAACATTTTGCATTTCAACATTTCTTATATATTACATATTTTCAACATTTTGCGTGTTACCTTTATTTATTAAGAATGATGTTCTTCGCACTTAAACTATAAAATTCAGTTCAATAGCAATATCGAAAAATAATTTTAAAATGAGCATATCTTTAGAATTTCCGATACACAGTCTCGCGCGGGGAGATAAAAATGTTTTTTTTTTTCGTAAGTGTTTCCATTCTCGCTTTGAGTCGTTTGAGTTTCTTAAATCCCAATTAGTTAAGATTTAACACAATAAAAATAGATAATAAAACCAATTTCAAATTTGAAATTCGGGCTTCCAGATGCCCATATTCAGGTGGAAACGAACGTTATTCGAAATTTGATGGCTCTAGATACCGTTGTTTCATCAGAATGCGAGAAACTAGTGATGAGTCGGTACTACCGAACCGGGTATTTTGTAACGGGTACTTAGTTGTAACGGGTACTGAAAATCGGTACATCCAAGTACCCGTTACTTCAGTACCAAAATCGGTAGTTTTGTATTCGTTACTCTGTACGAACGGGTACTTTTCGTTCTTTCTTCTGTACCGAGCGGGCACTTTTCGGTATTCGTTACTTTTGTACCGAACGGATAGTTTTCGGTTTATTCGTACCGAAACTTTTTCGGTATTCGTTACTTCTGTACCGAAACGGATACTTTTCGGTTTCGTTCGATTCTGTCACGAAAAAATATGCTCTCTTTTCGTATTCGTTACTGGAGGATCGATGAGGGTTCAGCTCACTTCGGTTTTGTACGAAACAGTATATCTGGTTGTATTTGCGAAATGGTGGTATGCGCTCTTGTGTCCATAATGGTCTGCTCCTCAGACACTTCGTAGTTGACATGTTTTCTGATATTCAAGATCTTACTCCGTACAGATAAAATCAAACAGTGGTGACTGGCAGAGTTCCTTCGTGCGCAAAATCGTTAGCTGGTATTTCGGTACCCAAATCGTTACTAGGGCACTTCGGTGGTAGCCCAATCGTTACTAGGGTACTCCGTACAGCAAACCGTTACGGGGTACTCGGTACAGCAAACCGTACTCCGGTATTTCGTTACTTCGTTACTCCCAATCGTTACTTGGGTTCGGCACTTGACGGTTTTCGGTACTTTTCAAGTAACGGTTACTTGAGTACGGGTATTTTGTACCGGGTACTGTCTGTACCCGTTACTCTCGTACGGGTACAAGAATGTACCGAAGTTTCCCATCACTACGAGAAACATACATACATTTATGCAGATTCTTCATTATTTAATTTCTTTAAATCTAATACAGGGCTGTAATAGTATTTGGTGGTAAGAATTTTAAAAGCGACCCGACATTTATAATGAATCAATGCAAAATGCCAAAACGAAATTAATAGCTCTTCTGAGCTAACGCTCTTTGGTCTAAAAGTAATCTATTATATAATTTGATGGGGGGGAAGTGAAAAAAGTGTTTTATCACAAATCATAAAAACATGAGGTGCTATTGATAAATTAATGAACATAATATCTTAAATTTTTGACAATGCAATTAGTTTATGCTAATTAGCACTCTGGCTTTTATGATTTGTTATTTAAAACTGTAGATAAATTTCGTGAACAAAAATATTTAATCTCTTGGTTTCGTTAAAATATATGATAAATTATTTTTGTCCTTTTAGTTCATTAATTATTTTATAAAATTTAAATAAAACCTTATTTTATAAAATTCTCTTAATGAAATTATGCAATCTATGAATAATATCCAATAATTAATAATCACTCTTTATTTCCAGAAAATGTTTCCGTCAAATGGTCGAAAAATCCAGCAGTTTTGGCGAATAACCAGAAATTATGGTAAGAATCTCATAAACTTCATATTAAGGATTTTTCTTCCGCTCTATCTATGGTGCCAACAGAAAATTCTGAGAGTTTTAGTTTGCACTCCAAACATGAAAATATATGCAGAAATGTTTTTCACAATGTATTTAAAAAATCTGAATCGAGTTTTTTAAAAAATATTCTGTTTAGGGCATTTTATTGTCATTCAAAAAAAAAAAAAAAAAAATCAGTAGCATTTATATTCGAATGTGGGATAAAATGGCTAAAATAAATGTCATTTAAACAAAAGCCAGTTTTAGTGGCACCCTCCAAAAAACAGAAAAACAAACAAACAAACAAAAAAAAAAAAAAAATCTGATGCGTAAATCACATGATTTCCTTGTACAGAATATTAAATTATACGCATTTTTTCCCGCATTTCATTTAAACGTATTGAATATTTGAATTGAATTTCGCTAGAGATATATTTCTCATTCAATCAATTCAGTTCTCACTTCGCGTAAAGATAAAAATACATAAGTTCCTCAAAATATTTTCATTCAAAATTGAAAAATATAGATCAACGTAAATCAACAAACACAGTTAAAACAATTTAAAAAAAATTACAATTAAAATTAGAGTTTCTACGCAAAAGCAAGCAATTTGGCCACAAAGTAAATTTTTTGATGCACAAAACTGAAAGTTTGCTTTTGGTCCCACTGGCATAAAGACACTGAAGGTGCAGAAACTGACTTAATCCACTTTTCTGCCAAGCACTTCAAATATAAACAAATATCAGTTTTTTAGGCTTTGTAGCATTTAAACAACTTGTTGATAATTCTACAACTATTGCATACATATTAATTAGAATTCAAACAATAAAAATCAGCATTATATGTTGACTTCTAAATTTATATTTCTTCGGCAAGTTATTTTAACGTAAATTATTGCATGCATATTAAATAAATGCACACAAATCTTAACCGAAACTTCATAACTATGTAATTTAATCACTTTTAAAGCAAAAAAAAAAAAAAAAAAAAAAAATGCACAGTTAACCAAGATATAAGAATAGAAAGACTAAGCTCACAGAGCCAGGTAACAGAGTGCGAATATATACATTTATATATGTATAAACGATTGGTGGAGTCGATTACAACGAAAAAGGGAGATGCACAACTATATGTTATAGCAGTCTCATGTAAACGATTCCAACGCTTTACGGCTACTCGTTCTTGAATTATGCGAGATAGATACATACGTACGTACGGACTTCCTTTACTTCGCACAAGGATGCAATAAATAAATAACTAAAAGTGATAAATAGAATACTATACGAATAACGCTAAATTGCATGAAAAATTTAATAAAAAAGAATAAAAATATTAACAAAGATTAACGAATGAAAATTATATCACACTCACATGTTTCTTTATTTTTAACATGAAAAAACTCTTACTTTTAAAAATCCGTTTGTTTAAAGAAATTAACGTCCTAAAAATCTGATTCCCTATATCGATGGGACTTTAATAATAGCCACATTTTACGTTTTATGAGAACCGTTTCGATAGATAAAAACTTATATTGCAGAATAATGTTGAATTGATCTATGGATAGTAAGTAATACACTCTTATCAGTTTTTTTAGCTCCATTTTTTAAACTGCATAAGAAGATAAGGATTTACGTTTTCATCATACGTGAAACGTATGAATTAATCTTCCATGCAAACATATCGATGATATCATAATGTAAACCGGCCGAGGTTGACCGACCTTGAAACAAGACAACAAAAACAGTGATAAAATGCACCGACTAGGTACAATTCGTTGCATTAGAAATAGGAGTTTCATCACTGGAATAGAGAATTTAAATAAGCATGATTGATAAAGTTATATTTAGAGTATATGTTGATGAATGTACTAAAGAAAGTAAAATCTTAGTTATGTGTTTTTTTAGTTATAACGTAACCTTAGAGAAGTAGTCTCAAACTGAAATCGAATGCGGGCAGAAAGTACACTGCGGGAAAAAAAAAAAAAAAACTGAAAGGTTTCAGATTTTAAATTACGTCC